ACAATAAAGTTATATTTCAGTTGAAGCCTGGAGAGCAGGACTGATGAGATACTCCACTGAACAACACGCTGCACACAAGGACACAGATGTGTATCTCAAGACCAGCCTTCAACAGTCAAGAGGAGCTGATGATTATCACACACATCAACACTATCCTCAGTCTCAACAAACGATGGACTGAAATGCCCCCCCCCTCCAATCTTTGGTCGTCATGGAAACAAGAGGAAAAACCTCCTAATGTTTCCTCGGGAACCTAAATGACCATGCACACCTTCAGGTGCCCAAAGGTGCCGTTTAGTTCTCTCCTAAATAGTGTTTCAGCATGCAAAGATTTCTGTCACAGAATAAAATAAAAGGGAAAAGATGACTCAGAACAGATTTTCTTAAAAACAACGCATCCATCTCAGAAATGTTGTCAGCAGGGCAGAATGAAATGGTATTAAGAGCGTAAGAAATATGGGTCACGTGGACCGAGGGCTGGCTGGCTCCCTTTTACACTCGTGTATAAAGCAGGCAGCTTTAACTGTGCACGCCACCAGCTATGACTCACGGAGACAAACGCTCCACAAACACAGAGACCCACTGAACTCTCCCCGTCACAGTGCTGATGGTGGACAGAGCACCGCCTTTGGCTCTTGAGAAGCAGCGAGTCTGAGATTTACAATCTAAACCTGACAACAGAGTCCATCGCAGATGGATCCCACATCACCCTGTTTGTTAATCACGTCACCAGGGGGCCGGGTACCTTTTGTCTCTTCACACATGAGCCTCCGAAACTCCTCCGTCAACGGAGACGAGGCCCGACCTCGTCCTTATTTGACTGTGAAACTCTAGATCGGTACAGGGGCAGAGCTGCAGTATGTGTGTGTGTGTGTGTGTGTGTGTGTGTGTGTGTGTGTGTGTGTGTGTGTGTGGGGAAGGTAAACACTGCTCAAGCGCTGTCACAAGCAATGCAAGTGCTGAGCACATGGCCCCACAGAGAACGGAGGAGGGAGGGCGGCAGATAGCGGGGGATTGAAAGAGAGCAATACAAGCTGTACTCACTGACTCACTTTTGCAGCAGACGGCACAAGGCGGGTTTTTCTTAAAGGGCCAGCAGCACAGGAGGCCACGTTGCAGACACGCTGCACGGCCTGGTTGACCGATCAGGCTTCTGCACAGGTCTTGTGACAGTGTGGTAACCATGAACCCATGTCTCACTGTGCCTTCAGGCTGCAACAGAGGACTTCACATGGTGCCCGAGTTCAACAATAACATGCTTGTCTGTGGAAAAAAACAACCCTACTTTTGCACACCGCTCCTCCTGTGCAAGCCTGTGCTGGTCATAACTGACCTGATTACCTCATCGTGGCTGAGGACCGGTCGATAGTCCAGACCATGTACAAGTACACGAGTACTGTGAGACAACAAATCTGCACGACACTGTCACATGGCTGCTGTTATCACATAAAAGACAACCCTGATGATCAAAATATTTTCCTTCTTTCCCCAGAAAATCATAATTTTCCAAGAGATAAATACTATACATGCTTATGTGCCACAATGACTAATTTACTTAGAAAATGATAATATTACATATCTACCCTCCACCACTACTCTACATTAGGATTTTCCCCACCAGATGGCACAACACGTTTCAAACTGGCATTGTGGGTTAAGCAGTGGAGGAACAACTTCAGTCAGCGATGAGGAAGGAAATGAAGCGCGCGCGGAGTAAACTGAGCCTCATGTTTACCGCTCCATGTTCCCTCCCTGCTGCTGGCAGCTAAAGCCCAGTGCAACAGCAAGTCCTGCCTGTTGCAGTGCTGGGGGGGGGGGGGGGGGGGG